TCTCCAAGACGAAGAGACCCAAATCGTGGAGGACGATGTTGAAAGCAAGAGATTGGAGCCTTGCTTCAGATTTCAGAACTTTGTAATCCCATTATATACTTAAACTCTAAACCTTAACCCCAAAAAAATCCTAAACCCTAAACTCTTATATTATAAACCCATGGCCTCCTTTAAAGGTACCCATGAGGCTTGAGCTCTGATCACTATGATCTTCCCTGGCGGAGATCCGTGGGCACCTCACTTCTTTTCTTTGCGCTGAAAGAGGCATGGCGCCTTAAACTGGGATTTGAAATTATTCTACATTACCGTGATATATAGGGTATATGGTAGGTAAATAAGGCTCGCAGGGATGTACCACAGTTGCTGCAGACAAGCTTCCGGGCCCTCAGCGCGGATGACTTCAAACTTGTCGTAGCTCTCTACAACACAGAGGATTGTGGGGTTCTGAATATGAAGGCCCCCCTCAAGGGCACTGAGAAATCCAGACCCTGTTTGGGGTTTGATAAAAGTTGTTTCGGCTACCACAATTCAAATAGACGGCAATTGCCCTTCAAAAGCTAGTTGGTTCTGCGTACGCTGTCGCATTTTTTTGGGCACTTCTGATTTTCCTCCTTGCCTGCTGGACTGAAGCTTGAGGAGTTGGTCTTTGGGCATGGCAGGAAGTCTTGCAAAGCCTGAGTCGCAACAACCCACATACGCAAACCCCCAAATGGACGTAGAAGGTGGTCCCCATTTTGTTATTTGATTTTTGTGCGGCCTTCCGACATAATGTGTTTAGAAGCGTGCTGTAGCAGAGGCGAAAATGTACTGCGCAGTTGTATTCCACCTAATTTGCCACCGGCGAATGTTTGGGGGTTGTCAGTTGACACAGCTCAGGAACAGCTGGTTCTGACGGAATCTTGGCGCTTTTGGTAGCAAGGCCTTTTCTAGCTCGTTTAGGGAGATCTCTTTCATCAACAATAACTCCAAACATTTCAGGCTTCAAGCCAGAAAACATGCGCTACATAGACCTCGTTCATAACGCCCTTCTGGGCTCCGATATTAGTTTGGGAGCGGGGGAGTCCCGAGGGTTCGAAGCTCCAGAACATCATTCAACATCTCCCAGCACCAGAATTTGAGCCTCTTCAATCTAAACCATCAAGTTCCAACCAAAACCCCTGCCTTGAATCAACAACCTTGAATCCTAGAACCTACAGTTACTATATGTATATATGAATATATCTATTGATAAACTCTATGAACCTTACATTCTAAGCTAGAACCCAAACTAAGGCCCCCATTGGGCTGCGCGACCTGCTGGATCCGGTCCCACTGCTAGAAGCCACCGTCCCGCTTCTGGACTCGGGCTTGAAGGTGGCTGGTTTAGGGTTTAGGGGTTTAGGGTTTGGGGTTTAGGGGTTTTCGGTTTAGGGTTTAGGGTTTAGGATTTAGAGGTTTAGGGTTTAGGGGCTTAGGGGTTTAGGATTTAGAGGTTTAGGGTTTAGGGGTTTAGGGGTTTAGGATTTAGAGGTTTAGGGTTTAGGGGTTTAGGGTTTAGGGTGGCAGGTCATGAGCTGCATATGTAGAGCTTAATATAGGGGAATGGAAAGGAAAATGGAAACTACTATAGGGTATAGGATTTGGGATTCGAGTTTAGGGATTAAGGCTTCAGTGTTTGGAGCTTGTTGGGTCAGGGGATTGGCTAAGGGCTGGTAAGATTTTGGGCGGTTTTTGGTTTAGGGCTTCGGGTTTGAGGGTTGGGGCTTCAGGGTCTAAGGGTTGCTGTCTGCATGTTAGGAACCATACTTGGGGGCATGTATGTACGTATGCGTGTACGTCATTATGTGCATAGCTATGTATATCTACATTATGGTGATTTTGCAAATACAGACGCACATACATGCATGCAGGCATATGAACATGTTCAATTGTAAGGTGCCATCCCTTCCTTCCAAACATCGAGCATGATTTCTCAGAAATCCTCACAGAGGGGCGGCAAGCGGACTGATAACATGCTACGCCTAAGCCCCAAGCCCTAAACCCCACATGGCCCCTATATAACCATTTGGATCCCCATGTAATGAATCCCTACATAGCCCTATGGAATCTACTTTGCGGGGTTTTCAGGCGCGTAGCATGGCTTGGGATGCAGGCTTGCACTCTGCACGCTGCTCTCGGGCCTGTCCATTGCAGGTTTTCGCAAGTCTGCCACCGGCCTGGCTCGACATCACAGGGAACAGCACTGCCATGGGGATGCTCGGAAGACAGGGTTAAGGGTGGTCTAGGGTTTAGGATATCAGGGTTTAGGGTTTAAGGGGATTTGGGGTATTAGGGTTTAGGGTTAAGGGGGGGGGGGTAGGTTTAGTGTCTAGGGGACTTCCAGAGGCTATATGGGGATTATCTATTATAGGGATTATATGGGGGATCTATAAGGAAAACCGGGCTTTGGGTGTAGGGGATTTTGAGGGATCATATGAGGGTCATAGGGCCATTATGTAGGGCTGATATTTCGGGATTACGGGAATGCATGGAGATTATAACATTGAGGAAAATATCAGGGTTATAGAGGGGTTATATAAGGATTGTATTGGGTCTGTATGGGGTTACATAAGGTTTAGGGATATTAGCCCCCCAACAATTGAGAATCAAATGAACATTAAATAAAGACAATATACTGACATGGAAACATAGTAGGATAATGGGAAAGAAAATGGAAACTACTATTTATGGCTTAAGGTTTAGGACTTATGGTTCACGGGGTTTCTAGGCGCTATATTGGGATTATGTCTTGTACGGATATAAGGAAGACAGGGTTTAGGGTGTAGGGGATTTCTAGAGATTCTAGGGGTTATATGAGGGTACGGCTACGGCGATTATGTAGGGATAATGTTGGGATTATATGGGGAACATATAAGGGTTATAGATGGTTATATATGGAGTGGAAAGGGGTTGTATAGGGGCGTATAGGGGTCATATAGGGCTTTGGGATACTAGCCCCAATAATTGAGAATCAAATGGCAAAGGACATGGAACATGAAATGGAAAACGGGTGTATATAATTGTTTTATATAATTGTTTATAGGGTTGATCAAAAAGTCTTGCAAAACCCTTAATACCCTTGACATTGGGAACTATGGGGTACTATAGAACAAACGAAATATGTGTAGAATTACCTGCCTTTTGACAAGTTCTAGGCATTTTAGGCAAATACTTTGAATACTGGGGTTCAGGCAGTGCTGTCCCAGACGCCTGGGAGGATCCAGTGTCCATTTGAGCTGTAGTCTACATTCCCTAAACGGGGTTAACAGGGACGTATATAGGGCCCGGGGATATGAAGGAGGATACTAGGAGTCTGGACTAAAGCTGTTGTAATTTTCCATTTGTTCCTGTTTGATCCTCCATTACCCCTACCCAGACTCCTGGGAGGATCTAGAAAAAGGGCGGCTCTCGAGGAGATCTTCGGGTCTCAGAAATTACGCCATAGTAGTGCAGGGTGCTGGTTTGCGGCTCTACTGTATATGCTTCAGAGTTCTGGGTAGACCCTGGAGGTGACAAAAAGGGGGTCGCTTTTATGGCGAATCGGGCGAGTTGTTTTACTTAGGTATTCGCAGCGTCCCCATGAGTCCCCAACGTTGCGGGAGCTCTTCTTCGCGTTTGTTGGATAGTTCTTGGGTGGCCCTGCTTCCCGCATGCTCAGGGCGTAAACAGGGCGTATACATGTAGTTTCAAATCGTTGGACTCGTGCAAGCTACCTTGCTCACAGAACTATAAAGCAACGAAGAACATTTTGCACTTCGTGCATTTTAGGCTGCAGCAACTTTGGGCCATTCGAGCCCACTGCAACTGAAGTGTTGAGCGACATGGGCTGTGTGGGTAATGGCATACTTCCCCATTTACGTCGTGCTGTTGTTGACGACAACAACAACAACAACACCAACAACACCAACAACACCAACACCACCACCCCCGCCACCGCCGCCGCCGCCGCCACCACCACCACCACCACCACCACCACCAACAACAACAACAACAACAACAACAACAACAAATTCAAGAACATTTGGTGCAGTAAGGATGCGTGGCATAATTGTGGTCTGCACATGTGCTGGGCCTCCTTCATAAAGCACTGTGCCGTTTACGGAGTATAAAACAGTGTGCGAGTTTGCTTAAGGTTGCTTACCACTGTTATTGTTGCTAAGGACGCGCTGCCTGTTTGCGTCGCGCCGCCACGAGAACTCGGTGTTCAAGCGGATTCGGCCAGAGCTGCTGCTACAGGCTTGCAAGGACGTACCACTTCCCCTGATAGTTCATGACCACACGCGTGACACCAATAGTAGCATTCCACAAAAATGGGGGTCATTTGCGCGGTGGGTGGGGTGGGGTGGGAGTTGGGGTGAAGATTATTGTTAGGAGCAGGTCATGAAACAGCTGACATTCACTCCCCCAACCAAGCATGGAACCTCAAAGCAGTCGTGCCAAGACGAGATACGTCTCCGTGGAGATTCAGGGCAGGATTACAGGTCTTGTTCTATCTCCTACTTGAATATGGAAAGCCTGCAGGGACCGGGATTCCGCAGGGAGGATAGGGAGTGATTGGATCCTGAGATTGGATTGCTTTCATTCGGTCATCCTCTATCTTTGCATGATGAGGAGACTTCTGCAACCACATCCCCCAAAGTACGACCTTCAAACTATCACAAGACCATAGCAGGGTCCTAAACCTTGGTTGGGTTTGACGAAATCCTCTCATTATGCCAGGAATCCAGAGGCGATTTTTTGAACATGGCTTGAATCCCGCGTCAAGATCTTGGGTCAGCATCTTTGCGATGTCGGGTAAATCGGTGGTTGGACGTAGATGCATTTGATTACTTCATAGAATAAGGCAATGGCATGGGTTTTCTTTTGACGGTGCGCAACCCAGTCTTGGCCCCCAAACATAAAAGTCTAAACCCCCAGCCTCTGACCACCAGACCCCTAAGCCCCTCCAGACTAAACTCTTAAAAAAACAATCCCCATGAGAGGTTCCTCCTGCAGCCCGAGAGTGGCAGCTACCGCTGGATCTTCCCAGTGATGCCGTTAAGCCTGTGGAGGCGCCTCGGAAAAGCTGAGGTTGCTAAGGTATAAGATTTTCGTTTTTCATGGCTTCAAGCATCCCTTTTTGTTGTTAAAGTGGCTTCACAACATCCAAAGTGATAACCCAGGGAACTCCGTGATAGCTAATTGGACCTAAGGTCGAATTGCCGTTTTTACAGGGTTCATACGATCCAGGGTTGCAGGCTTCTTGGGGGTGTATGGTTGAGCAGCAGAGTTTGCAAGGTTGCAGGGCTAGGGTTGTTGCAAGGCAGGCAGGTTGGCATTGGTTTACGTGTAACCCTAATTACGTACAACTTTGTAGCAGTTATCTCCTATAGTATAGGCCAGCATAGGTATAACCCAAAAACACTGTAGGCAATGGGGATGACGGGTAAGAGTTGCCAGAGTTTGGAGTTTCCAAGCGACGGCTTTGCAGTTTTGGGATTCCGTGCCATCTGCAAAACTAGCATGGAACCCCACAAACCTCCCCAGATTCAACCGTAGAGAAGGTAAGGGGTGGGGCTTGCCGTCGCATATATGTTCTTCAGGCCAACGGTTGTGCGCGGAATTGCGCGGATAGGGATTAAGACTTAGATGCGGGGATTGCGTCGAACCTCACAGATGTTATTTAGTTGTTTGACCAAGCCTTGTATGGGGCTCGGTCAGACGTTTGATGTTCTGCCTTGAGGTCCTCAATTAGGACGCAACTCGGACATCAAGGATTGAGCCCAAAACCCAAGACCCCAAACCCTGTCGCCTAGGCATCCGTGCCGAAAATAGCCCCTGCGCCTAAACACAAGCAGCCACTAAATCTTGAAAGCTCCTGCAAGTTACGCGCTCCCTCAAGGATGAGCCCTGGCTACTCCAGATTCATCCTCGGAAGCAGACCCTTAGAGTACTTCTCCGCCCAGGTACGAGGGCTGAGATTTTGAGTTGAGGTTGTTGCTTATGGGGATCGGGGATGACCTCTTTGCCTGCCATTTAGGGCATGCCAGCTTTAGGCGTTTTGCTCGTGGGGGGTTGTGCTTCAAATTTGCTTTAGAGGAGATTATTTTCAGGCTGTTCAGATGGAATTAGGGAAGCTGTTGTTCCAGGTTCCGCATTTGTCAAACTAGATTTTGCCGGTTCAGCTGTAAGGCTTACTGGGTTGGGGCAGTTTGCCTGTGGGTTCTGAGATGTGGGTTTCGGCTTGATCCTCTTGGTTTGGAGTGCCCGAGAGTCCAGGGTGTTAATTTTTGTGGGCGAGTTATCGCCTTGGAGTTTTTCCACAGTTTTCAGGTTTCAGGAAAGGGGGTTTGATGATGGCAATGTTGAATCCTTTTCCCCTTTGCCTGCAATCACGGTTTCCTCTCTCTCCCCCTCTCTCTCCCAAAATGGATCCTGCATTGCAGGCGTTCTGCTTCTCCAGATGGTTCGAAGAGGCTGGGTGAGACGAAGCGAGAGTCAATTTCAGTATGGCTGAAGAGTGCACCATGCTCCGACGGCTGACATGACTGCTCAGCCCTTGCGCTACTAGAAATCGAAACGCATATCATGATCACCACTCACAAAATCCTTTTCTCACCATCATTACTACCACCATCAGCATAGGTAGCACCGCTACCTGCAACAAGCACGATGACCGCATTGCCCTCCATCATCACCGCCATGCTGTTGCCAAGAATTGTTTGTACCAACAACATCATCAGTATTTTGACGGAGCGCTGTTTGAGCTTTCCGCAGGCACAGCGCTGCCAGCTGCCCGGTTCACCTGGCGCATCATTGACAGTCACACTAAAGAGAAGGAGGAAGCGCTGAACCCCTCAGGTGAAAGGAGTTGTGCTAGAAGTGCTGTGTGCAAACGTCCATAGTCGATAGTAATCATAGATTGTCTGCAAACGTTATCAGCTCTGCTGCGACTTTCGCGGAAATGGCAAGCCCTCATTCCGAGTTGTTTTTTGCACGGTGGGTCGCAGTGAGTGAATGGGATTGGGAGGGTGAACCTACCGGTGACAAGCCCTTCCAAGCCAGAAAATCCTTGTCGTGTTTTCTGATGTTTGCTCCAGTTTCTCCAGAGTCATCGATTGCTTTCGTTTTATCACTCTCGTGATGTCTATGCCGCAGGAGAGGCCTGCTGATGACAGAGCCTGCGCCCATCCTGTTGGGGAGTTCTCGATACTGAGCAACCTGGAGGAGCCCGGTCCACATGGGTTTAAGAGGTGGAGCGGATCAGAGATAAAGGGGCTGAGGGCTGTAAACTGTTACCATGGTTATGGGTCTTATGTTCTGGGTTCGAGGGGTTTAGGGGTTAGGGCGATTTAAGGTTTAGGGGCCTAGATTAGGGATGGCTGGGTTTTGGGCTGTATGTTTTGGCAAGGCGCTCTTGACTGCTGCAGCGCGAAGGATGCCGCCTGCACCCAGCCGCCCAATTTCCTGCAGCATCCGCTGAGACGCGAGCAGCTGAGAATCTAGGCCGAATTTAGGGAGGGTCCCACAGTGGGAATCAGATTATTTTTGAGATGCTAAGAGGCACCCTCATTACGATGCTTTTCAATGCTTGATTGAGCTCGATTGAAGACCTTGGGCTAGCGGAGCGGCGCCCTGACAAGAACCCGGATCTAGTAGGAAATTCAGCCCAGGATTTTCTTCTGTCATGCGTAGATGCGCACAGGGTAATTGGTCCCTATATTCTTCATGAGAACCAAGGCCCTACTATGGTCCTTGGATTCCCCATTCCCAACTAAGCATGAGTGAGTCTTTAATAATGCATGTCTTGATTCAGCACCCAAGCATTCCCAAGCATTGTTTACTTTGTTTGGGCGGGGGGTTGCAGTATTGCACATTGCGATTTGCTAAGGATCCCTTGGTTGGATGCTCATGCAGGCTGAATCGGCATTTTGCATGCCGTTCGAGATGCAGACGTGATTGATACTCACGGCAGTTGGGTGCCTGAAGGTAGTAAGATAACCCAAATATATACCCTATCATAATATAGCAGCTTCCATTTTCTTTTCCATTATCCCTATATAACCCCAATATAGTATCTGCAAAGGTTTGTCATGATTCGATGGGCGAACAATTGGAGATGCTGCATTCGGTCCTTGGACTTTGGAGCTGGGATGTACAAGTGATGCGAAATACTGCGCAACGTTCTGTTCCAGAAATGGCCACTGATTTCACCTCACCTCTAATGTGAGTACTGGGCTTTCTTGAGAAAGTGATTACCGGTAGATGCAGGTAATCCTGTGAGTAGCAAGTCTTAATATTCCAGGCAACTACATCAGTCTCGCAGCCCTAGCTGGTGCAAGACTTCCTCCATCAACAGTGAGGATTACTCCATCACCGTGGCAGGAGCGACGGAGCGCAGAAGACCCCTTCGTCACGGAGCTGAGGGAGGTCGTCAGGATCACTTAAGGGAGCAGAGTTGACGGATAAGGGACTTGAAGGATGTAAAGCCGGTGAACAGCATTAGAATCCTTCGATTACCCACGGGGCATGATACCTTTCTTGAGACGGAATCGGTAAGGTTCTGGATAGTCATGGGATGAACCTGCAGTCATTTAGCAATGCTTGGTGGGTAGCAGGCTTCTCACTTTGCTGAACTTGGTTCAACATGTCACCTGTTGGGGAGGGGGGGGGGGGCAGGACGGGTGTCCAAATTGCCAAATGGTAGTTTCCCAAAATAGGGTGACCCCAATGTAGACCCCAAAATACTATAATCCTTATTATAGGGACCCCCAAAAGGGTACCCCTAATTTTAGGAAACCCCCAAATCCAGGGCAAGCATCATAGGACCGCGACGGAGGCTTGCGCTTTGTATGGGACCTAGCGTTGGCTGTTGGTATCTATAGCCTTCACTTTGCATGAAGGTGTCGATGACGCCATGCCCCTTCCACCTCTAAGCTTTCCTCGCAAGGCCCCCTCAAAATTCTAAGCCCTGTTGCAGAATCTGCAGCAGAAAGATCTGATTATTTGGTAGGATGTTGAGAAGTTTCCTGATGGTAGCCTTGCAGAATCGCAAGAAACATCATTCATCCCTACATCTTCGCCCTGGGCTGATGCCAACCGCCATATTATTCATGTCTGCTGAGCTCTTCATGTCCTCTCGCGCAAGGCAGTGCGGTGTCCTGACGCTCCGCACTGGAAGCTGGAAGGACCTCGAGCGAGAAAGCCCAAGCTAAATACCATAGGACCTTGGCTACAAGGAACCCTCAATTTTGGACAGCTCAGAAGTTTGAAGTGCAACGCGTCACAGGCAAAAGTTGAACAAACCTGACGAGGCAATGTCTTCCATGCGCAGCAAAATACTTATTCCGCAAGACTACATGTTCTGCTTGGTGTGGGGAGGCATGAACAGTTTTGACTTCTGTGGCCTCGGTACAGCCCTGTGAAAGTCCGGTAAATCCGACTGACCTCCGACCGTCTGTTAGTCCAAGAATGCTCGCAACTAAACCAGCCTGCCGTTCGCGAAGGATGCCTTCGATGCGAATACCGGGATGTGAAGGGCGGTTCCTCACACAGCATTCGTCAAAATGGGAGCCACCTAATTGTGCACAAGGCATATGAGATTCCTTCAGGAATGTCGTATCAGTGTAGGCAGAGACCTAGGGAGCGACGGCAAAGAGCTGCAGAGGAAACGTTTCAAAAGGTTCACAAGCACCAGCCAGTGTCGCAGCCAGTGTAGATCAATTACAGCTTGGTGCTATTTGCTGGCTATTTCGTAGGGTCCTTAGGATAGGACAGTGGCCGGGCTAGGCTCAGTGGCGCAGGATTTACGGCCTCAAGTTCGGTGTTGCTGTTCAGGAACTGATCAGTAATCATGTTAGGACCCTACTAGGAGAGTGGTGATAGTACGAACACTGACCGTTTTCTAGCTCTTCTTCTCGCAGGTCAAGGTGTCCCAAACCGGGGCAACTCAAAATAGTAATAGCAGTAATAAGCTTACTCGCTTCACTTCGGGTCGTTAGCAGACATTAGTATGGCTTTGTCCAACATTCACGTATACCCCCTCAGAACTTTTCTTTAATGCAAATGCTTTGGGCGTGCCTACCTGGAACCAACCACTTTAGGCGTTCTGGCGGACGCCATCGGCTACGGCAAGACAGCATGCACCATTGGACTCATCGACAAAACGAAGGACCAAAAGGGCTGCTGCATGTAGCCGTAGATGTGTCATGTTCCTTGTTTGGATGCATCAGGTCCATGTTGTTTGAGGCCAGAATCTCAAGTCCCATTCGGCGTGAAGTGCGCGAGTCTTCTAGTTTGTCCGAGGAGCCAGTCCTGGCATTGACACACATGCACGGGAGTTTCTCAAGAAACCAGATATATATATATAGCTATAGTCCTCAAAAGGGACCCTCCATAATTCTCTATGACCCCTATGTGCCCCTAAGTTCCCCAAGGCCCTTCCCTGTTTGAGAGACCCCCATATTCTTGGGCTTCTTCGCCTCTTAGATATGATCCGAAAAGCTGGCTCTCGAGCTCATCCTGACATCCCAAAAACCCAAGTTCCATCATTCAGGTTTCTTTCGCCCTAGTGATCCAAATGGCCCAGCGGTAGTACGATTTAAAGATGTTACGAGGTCCCGAAGGAAGTTTTAATGTAGACCCATGCTTAATACATCACTTTTTTTTAAGGGCCTTCATTTTAGGATCCCTATTATAATGACTATTAAGGGGAGGGGGTTTATTGATCAATCAGGGTCTGGGTTATCCTACAGAAAATGTTGAAGTCCACGTTGCTAGGAGTCTCCCTTGCCAAGCGTCCCCACAGCTTTCCGAGGCAAGGCTTACCTGGTTTCAGGGCGATGGGTTTAGGGTTTGAAGGTAGCTTGGGGTTTTAAGCCTTTAGGATTTCAGGACGTATACTATGGGTTTAAGGGGGTTACGGGCTTACCGGGAACTTCCCCAAGCACTACAGCTTTTACGAGGGTTCCAAGATGTCAGGGGACCCAAGAAAAGGTTTGTAGTATACTGAGGTCTATATATCGGAGCCAAATGTCAATGAAACCACCCTTATACCCATGGTTCTTGGCTTGATGGCCATTGTTATGCGAGTTCGGGCGTGGCCGGCGCGCTTACATTCACTTGCACTTGCCTGCTATGTTTGCTCCCGAAACCCTGAACCCTAAACCCTTAACCCTAAACTAGTCTCGGTGGAGCTGGCCCCTGATTAATGTTGGACTATACTTGCAGGGGTTGTAGGGGGATATAGAGGTTATATATATAGGGGTTATATTGGGGTTATGTATGGGATATATATGGATAAATGGGAAAGAAAACGGAAGCTACTATATCACTGTAGGGGAATGTATAGGGGTGGCGGTGCTGCTCGGAAAAAATAAGCATTCCCTCGATATGTTTTTGCAGCCTGGCTCTACATTAGGAAGATTTGGTAGTGGCGGGCGCGCGTAGTCATAGGGGGAGGGGTCTCAAGATGATCCAGCGAAATCAATAGGGGAAATCGCTTGCAAATCCCAATGCGTACCTGGGATGCTAAAGGGTACCCGCATTCTGGAAAGACTGCACATTGTTGAGGCAGATATTAGATATATATAGAGAGAGAGAGAGAGAGCAAAAAAACAAAAAGTGCGTTTTTGTGTGTAACATCACAAAGCAGAGGCTTCAGGCCTTTGTGTTATTGAGGTGACCGTCAGGGTTTCTGTCCTACAGCCTTCTGCCCAGTCATTCATGCGTTCCCATGTGGGGAATGGTGAAACAAGCCCCTACCCCTGACTTCAGCTGCGTAGCTCCGTAATTCTACCGCTATGGAAGAAATCTTACATCATCCTGGGCACCGTAAATGCTAGGAACTAATGCGGTTTAGGGTTTAGGGTTTAGGGTTAGGGGTCTAGGGGCTTTGGTGTTGCCAGATTTCCTGCAACAAACGGCAGGCACCACACTTGATAATCGCTTGACCGGAGGCTTCATTCCTAGCCGAGCCACGCTGGTCCTGGTTCCCACAAACCTGCACAAGCAGTGGCTGTCACTGGATCAACAGCAGGAATCCATTGTACGCTTGGGCCGTTTGGGGTTTGGGCTAAGGTCATTGGGTCTTCGCTCTGGATTTTGTACTTGTGGCTGTCATTGGAAACGCTTAATCAGGAAGTCCATGCAGTCACAGGGGATGTGTATACTGAGGGGTGCTTTTTTATTGGGGCCCGGTGTTTTTGTTCATACACTGTTGAGGGCATGGACCCTTTCATTGACCTTTCATGATCTGAGAATAGCCCCTCAAGTTCATCCCTCCCAGCAATTTCAATCCTAAGGTCCGAAATCACCAAGTTCACGGGAGACGCGCTGAAGGTCATTTCTGTGCCCACCTGCGCGCAGCTGAAGCGGCTGACTGTCAAGGAGCTGTCGGAGGCAGATGTTGTCGTATCCACCTACCGGCTGCTTCTCGGCTTGCTGAGCAAGCTCAGAACTATCCTTAAATATTTTCCGGGGATGCCCATAATCGCGTTGCATACCCCTAGGATTGCTAAGGGTGCCGCTGCTTGAGAAAAAAATTGTGATGCCTCATCCATGTCTCTAGGCCCCTCTAGGCCATCATTCTTGGCAATCCCAGGTCCATGCTCCTTCAATCTTGAAGGAGCCACTGAACAATCCAATCCCCGAAGAAGTCGCCATGGGATGCCAGACCAGCAGATCACTAATCATCTGAAAAGGCCCAAACAGGGGGCTCTAAATCCGACACCCAAATCAAGTGCATCCTATAATCCCGAACCCAAATCCATTTGAAATACTTTATTCCTTCTTCCCCGAACCTGAGTCCAAGTGAGTGGTGCTTTTTTATGGGGATAAATAGTCCCCAAAGTATCGTCCTTTGGGGTGTGGTTTCTATAAACAAGAAAACAGACTTGCTTGCTTCAACCACGCAAAAACCTGAAAACAACACACACACACATCATCATCCTTCTAGACTCTACATGAAGGAATGTGATATACGCTCATAACCGCTATTCTCAAAACATGATTCATTGAGCAAAATCTCCACCCTATATGGTACAGTACATGCTTAGGCCTTAAAGTCGGTGTATATAGGAACCCCGTGTGGGCCCTAAGTATACACCAAAAATCCACATGAACCGTACGGGCTATGGGAAACAGTCCGAAACAGTCGGGGCTTAGATTCAGGATTTGAGGCTGCTCTGGCATAGCTAGTACTACGGGTCCACTCCACGCCCACACCTTGTTTATACCTTTGAAGGCATCCTATACATCAGGAGAAAAATATGATCCTCTTTGGTGTGGTCTTCTATAAAAAGGCTATAACCCCTTTAAAGGGATCCTATACCCCTATCAAGCCTATTCCAAACACTACTAAGGTTCTACTCCGCGCCGTACCTGCGACGGCTGGAGGAGCTCGCGCGGGAGAGCTCCTTCGGCTTCGCGCCCCTGGGGCTTACCTTAGGGTTTAGGGTTTAGGGGTACTTGGAAATAATTTTTACTTTTTGCTTATTATAACCCTAAGGAACAACCAAAATTACAATGTTTACTAGGGTTCCAAGTTCTCCATAGTTACAAGGAAGCTGAAGTCCTGAAAGGTTTCAGGGTCTAAAGGGTTTTTAGGGTTTCAAGGGTTTACCAGGGTGTTGTTAGGGTTTTAGGTTGCAGGGTCATAGGCTTTGGGATTGAGGGGTTGGGATTCAGGAGTGTTCAGGCAGATTTGGATTTGAGGATTTGACGAAGAGGTTTGGGGACGTACATGGGTTCTCCAAGTACACATACATCTAGCTTTTGCTTGCAACTGTGACCAGCTACTATCTGGAATCTCAGGGGCGCAGAGATGAGTGATCTGGGTTTGACGGTTTAAGGATGTTCAAGGGTTTGGGGTTAAACCCTAAACCTTGATTTTGGGTGAATGGGCTTTGAAGTGTTGCCTCTGGGCTGGTGGAGGGGCTTAGAGCGTGGGCTGCGCGGAGGATACAGGAATGGCATAGGGCGAATGTTTCATGGTTTGTAGGTTTAGGATTCAGGATTTAGGGTTGAGGGTTTAGGGTTGAGGGTTCAGGGTCTTAGGGTTCAGGGTTTACGTTCTAGGGTTTATGTTCTAGGGTTTTTGTCGGCATCAGCTAACAGCCTCATATAGAGGGATGCTCACCGGGGTGTCCGGCTCCAGGTTTGCCATCGTGGGATCTTAAAGGGTTTATTGGAATATTCATTGCGGGGACTAGTTGTGGGATGATATTGGGATTATGTAGGGAGATTATCCCCACAATGGAGAATCAAATCGAACAGAGACAGGACATGAAGAAATTTGAACTGGGTTGACGTGGATATACATGTATATATTTATTTATGTCTGTACTACATGGGAAATATGGACTGTAGCTGATATGGGGTGCATCGTAAAAGTCTCTCAAGTGGATCATGGCCGCTGGGAGTGGTGTCACACGAGAAAACGCCAGCCATTTGTTGCTGCAATTGTTCGGGAATTCGCACCCTTTTTTGCACAAATTCGGCTGGCTGGCAATGACACACAAATGCCAATGTCACGCCCAAGCAGCATTTCAACCCTGAACCTGCAAGCCCTCCACACCAAGGTTCCCCAAGCACAAGGCAGGTGCTCATGAAAGGGAGGAATCTTGGGCAAGGTTGGCCTGGCTTTTGCTTCTTTCAAGCTTTGGGGCTGAGACGGCTCTATGTTCGTAATGCGCTTACGGCTTACACAAAGCTGCAGCTGTTGCGGTTTGATCTTTGTGTTTGTGTGGTTGAGGAAATGAATAGTTGCCTTTTACATCCCAGGGCTCTAGTTGTATGTACAGATGCTTAGATGGGACCCTATAAACTTCATCCTAGCAGGCAAAGTAATCAGATGTTTCATATATCACTGTAGCACTTACTGGTGACACACCATGATTTTTGTAGTGCCACACATTGAAAGTCTTCCCACAACTTTTTCTACTTCGAGCTTCAGGGTAAGGATAACTACAACCCAATTATCACTGCTACTCTCACTCAGCCCAATTACAACCATATTATGGGACTTAGGGGGCTTCGAAATGGGTGATAAACATAATGAAAACTGGATAAAAACGACCGTGAACCACCTAAACCCTAAACCCTGAACCCTTAAACCCTAAACCACCTTGTCCAGGAGTGGTCCCAAGCATATCGCTCGGCCTTTGAAGCACTTCCTGGCTGGGCTGCAAAGCTGGGCATCGACACGGAGCCTACCACACCAGCCAGGAGCTGGGTTGAGGATTCAGGGGTCATGGGGATCTATGGAGAAATAAAGGCTAAGGGTAATTAGGGATGTATAGGCTGCAGGGTTTGGGGTGCAGGTCTTGGGGTTTGGTTTTTCAAATGTAGGTGCTATAGCGCAAAGTTTTTTAGGGACCCACTCAGAGCACTGCAGAGATCGTGGAACCCTGAATACCCTAAACCCCAACCGCCTAAACCCTCAATATGGGAACATTAGAGATGCCCAAGCCACAGATGCGCAACATTTCAGAAGTGGATCATGATGCATTTCAAGGGCTAAAATGTTGCCGAGCATATTTGCGAACTGCAAGAGGGGGGGTTTGATGTGTGGGGTAGGGCAAGGGATTGAGATGCATCGTGTGGGTATGGTTGGCGATCAGGGTTTAGGGTTTAGGGTTTTGAAGCTCAACTTTTGGGATTTGGCTGTAGGACGCATGTTTGGAAGGGTTTGGGATCGGCACATCTCGCAGGAAGAAAACTTTTCTGTTGGCAAGTGCATTGCACAAATGTGTCAGACACAATGGAAGGTATGGCAACCTAGTACGTGTCTCAAAATGGAGCAGCTTAAGATTTGGTAGTTTTCCAAATTAGGGGTACTCATTTTGGGGGTCCCCATAATCAGGATTATGGTATATTGGGGTCCATATTCGGGTTCCCTTGTTTTGGGAAACTACAATTTTACAAGTGGGTCTGCAAGCTTCAAACAGGCCAACGTTTGGTGTCGACATTTCGCGTGCGCTACTAGCAAGTGATGTGTTGTGGTTCAAACAAGGTGCTTGGCGGTTAGGCTCAGTTTTCTTTGTGCCCTGATCAACCATGAAGCATTTGGCCGCCACTGAAACTCCAACTATTTCAATCTCCAGCCCACCAAGTCCCAGACACGGGCATACCCGCGAAAAATCTCTACCAGGCGTCCGGTGGCTGCTGCCGAAAACAGCGAGTTGAAGGGAGAAAGCACCTGGTTTCCCTTTCGAGGGTCCCCGTGTAGCATAGTTTTGATGCACATCAATATCTAGAACTCAGAAAGCCCAGAGATTTGTCAGGTCCTACACTCCTGAAGTGTAGGGATGTTCGCAAGGTCCAGTATGGGTCAAATCCGACTTCTGGATCATATCCGAAGATGATGAAGACATTCAGGATTTCACGGACCCAGTGGGTCAATTACCGGCATTTTGAGGTCCAGAGAAGCTGAAGCTAAGTAACTGTTGGCAGGAAAGCGTAGTACCTGCTAGATATCCCAGACCTAGTAACTTCATTCCAGTTAAGTTCCTTAAAGAGCAAACCAGATGGAGTCAGGATGTAGTCTGTGGGTTAGGAGGACCACCCCCCATCTGTAATAGTAATATGATAGGAATGTAGGAGGACCCTAATGTAATTCTTGTTATCCCTTATAATCACTATTACTGGGTGAGGGGTCCACCTCCTCTATAGGATTCAGGCTTTACCGGAGTCCTTTAAGCTGACTGCCAAGCCGTAACGGCTCGCATAGCAAGGTGGAAACCTTCTCAAACCTTTAGGGTTTAGTGACGGTTTGGTGTATTGTTATTACTATCATCATGTTTGTTCTTCTTCTTATATTGCTGTTAAATCACTATTATATTAGTATTGTCTTATTATGATATTAGTATGTTGTATATTATGACCCAACAAAGCGCCAGAAAGCCTGGACACGCTACCCTAGACCCCTGGACTCCTACAATCGCTGGTACTCTGAAAATATGAAACAGCACCACCTGATGTTGGATTTTTGTATTCTCACGTCCTGCTCTACTAGTCACTAGTCAGAGATTTCTGGCTACTGCAACCCCCAACCTAAACCATAAACCCTAAATAGTGGCTTCCATGTTCTTTTCCATTACCCTTCTTTAACCCCTATATACTATATAGTAGTTTCCTTTTTCTTTTCCATTATCCCTATATCTTCCCTGTAGCTACTGCTTCACAACAACAGGGCCCTAGTTTTGCAGGCTGAGGTTCCCCCCAAATCCTTTTATCAGCAAAGCCCCATATTTCGCTACATGTATGACAATTCCTAAAGCCCCATGTTCAATTCGAATGTCCTTTTCTTTCCCAAGTGAGTTCCTTCAGCCCAAAACCCTAAACTCAAACTCTAGACCCTAAACCCTAACCCCCCTACAGCTTGCAAAAAAAACTTACATCTCATTTGAGACCGAGGCAAGCGCAGAAGGGGCAAGGTGGCAAAGGCGATGGAGGTCAAAGAAGAGACCCAGGCTTTGGATTTAGGGGTTTAGGGGTTTAGGGTTTAGGGGGGTTTAGGGTTTAGGGTTTCGGGGTTGGTGTGGGTAACTTTCAATGGGGTATAAACGAAAAGGGAGAAGGACATGGGAATTACAATATACAGGATGACTATATAGGGATATTATCCCAATAATTGAGAGCCAGATTGAAAGCAACATGGGAGGTGACATGGAAAGTGGGATTATGTAGCGGTTTCGAGGGGTTTGGGGGGTTCCCACAATACTGGGTACCTTTTTCACGGGTCCCTGCAGATGTTGGGGTCCCATATTTCTGGAAGCCACCAGACAACCCTACTAGAGTTAAGAGGCAAAACTCCTCATGACCACGGAACTCAGCAGCTAGGTGGGTTTAGGGTTTTACTGCTTTGGGTTTGAAATCTCGGCTCCAGGGTTTTCTTTGTTTAGATTTTACGGCTTAGGGTGCGGAATCTAGGATTCAGGCTCTGGGGTGCAAGTTTTCAGTCTTTGACTTATACAACCTAGGATTCAGGGCTTGGTGTTTGAATGTGGGCTTCTGAGTTTGTGGTGCCTTTCAAGGACTTTTTGAAGAGGTTAGTGATGCAAAGGAAGAATGATTACGCATACCATTGGGAGCACAAAGCAGACAGTCCATTTCTACTTGACCCTACATGAGCCCTGCATACTTTCCTCTATTCTCCCCGGGAGAGCTTGATTTTTTCTTTTTTAGGAACATTTGCGTTGAGAGTGTATCCAAGCCATAGCATTTGTGCCCTGTTTTGTTGCTATAGTAGGTTCAATGTTGACATGTGAAAGTTTCTGGAATTTGTTTTTTACATGGGGGCCCCAGAGAGCTGAAGAACATGAAGGTCGTGCATGGTGTCTTGTCTGGGAACTTGTTTCTGCTTATCGGAATCCGTTGATGGAGTGGTGTAGGTTGTCAGGAATGGGAGGACCACGTCTTGGGTATCTCGGGGAACCCCATTTGGGAATGGAACTTGAGACCCTGTGGCCTTAGCCCCTCGATAGATAAATGCCCTTTGATGACACGAGATTTCCTGGCCACACTCCAGAATAGGATAGGTTCCCTTCGCTCTTCCCTTCCTTAAGGCCGGCATGAAAAATTGCAGAGCTACGCCCCTATTGGATGTGCTACCTTCCTCGCCATTTTCCAGCGGCCGCACCCCATACTAAGAAGCCCTTCATTACAGCAACCCCATCATGGTGCCCCAGGCCCACACCTGACCTCAAACCCAACTGTGCCTGCGTAGTGGATGATCGTTTTATAGCCCTACACCTGGTCAAGCTTTTTTGCAACACGGGGATCCTTCAAAGCAGGCGGAGGAAGTCCAGGGCAAGCGTCGAAGAAACAAGGGGGCGAAGGCGCCAGAGGTCAAGGAAGAGACCCAGGCGACCCAGGCCTGCGTTTTTTGGTTCAGGGTCTGAAGTATTCGGCCGTAGAAACAGGAGTTGGGGCCTAGGATGTGCTGGTTCTGGACGAGGAGGTTAAGGATTTTTATCTTGGGGTTGCTAGGGGCTGCAGTATTGTCTCAGGATGTTCATGAGTTGGGAGAAGGCTTGTCGGATTGTAGGCTTTGTTCATAAAACGTTCTCAGACATAGGATTTCCTAGTTGCCGGGGTCTGCTGGGTTGCTCAGCGTGGACATTGGTCACTATCGGCCTCACCTTTTTTTTATATCCCAGATGTCGCATGAATTGCAGTGTTAGCAGGCCCCTGTAGTTTTCATTGTCTTTTCCTTTTTCCACATATAACCCTACAGTGGTTTCCATTTTATTGTCCACTATCCCTATATATAACCCTAATCTAACCCCACTATTATACCCCAATATTATACCCCAATTTTATACCCCAATAATATATCCCCAATAGAACCCCTACTATATTACCGAAACCGCAGGCCACCCAGGACTTCCAAGGGAGCCAGAAGCGGCGCCGAATCAACGGGAAGCAGGCGGGGGCACAAGAATAAGTATGGTGCCATGCAAGATGACACAGTCCCCCTTAAGTAGGTAGACTCTGGGGTATATGGAGATCTTATTATATAATACCCAGAGCCATATTCTATCTACTTAAGGAAGACTATACTCTCAGCCCCATACTCCACATCCACCACTAGGGTTTCGGTTTGGCAGTCCTGGAGGCTGATGCGACGCAGAACTTCATGGAACCAGAGCCCATGAGGACGCTGGACTGGCCACTCCCTGCACTCCAAACTCAGTACGTGCCTTTGGAATCTGGGTATCGCAGTCAGTGGAAACTAATATATAGTATATAGGGGTTAAATAGGGATAATGGAAAAGAACATGGAAGCTACTATTTAGGGTTTATGGTTTAGGGTTCCCAAAGCCTGACTATGATTAGAATTGGGCACCATTACCTCCTATTGGATTTGATATGCCTGAAGTTGAGTCCTTGCAGAATCTTGTGTCAAGAGTTTTAGATCATCCAAGCAACTCCTGGGCAGCTAATCAATCTTTTCATGTCTCAACCCTTGAGCCCGGTAGCGTGTGTTGTGTGTTATCCACCAATTCTGCACCTTAAAAGTCCACAGTGGGGTTAAGGCTTTGGAAAGCAGCTGGCAACCCCTAACCCTCACGACCTTTGGTGCTTCAAGGAAGCTTTCTGGTGGAAGCGAGTGGTCTGCGACGAATTTCATGAACTGCTGAGCCGGTACCCGCCAGCACAAGTTGCTGTTGAGCTCTTCCATGCAGAGCCTTGGCTCCACATGCGCTTGCAGCAATAAAAGGAACAGGTGTGGCGGCTTAGCGCCCACTCCTTCTTAAGCCTGAGATTTCAAGTGTGTACCCATCCGCAAATTAGAGGCTGACCTAGTTCAATGCATTGGGCTAAGGAGTACAAGTGGGGCTTGAGCGGAACTCCGCCTTGCCAAACCTTGGCGCAGATCCGAAAGGCTTTGGGAAGAATTGAAAACGCATTTTTTGGCTTCGCCAGCGCTGTTAATGCTAAGCACCTTCCATGAACATGAAAACTGCACTTCGCCGCCTATCGCACAAATCCTCAATCAAAGACGTGTCATGAATCAGTCAGGAAAGAGGATAGGATAGGGTAATGGGCTGTCAACCCAGGGCCAAATGGCCAAATCTTTAAGCCACGCCTGCAGGCTTGGGGCTAAACTCCTTTAAGCCCATACTGCAGGCGCCAAAACTTGCACGCCCAAACCCTGAGGGCTTACAGCCCAACACCGTCCCTGCAGGCAGCAGGCTTTCTGGGAGTGCAGCTGCCCACCACGCTGGCATCGGACGCAGACAAAGAGGAACCACGCAAAGTCGCACAGGACTCTGCCTGAAAAGGCTTTCATGAGTATCATGATTGCCGTATATTACGGTCATTAGTACACTTCTTATCGTGTTATTATTGCTCATCTTATGCAAGCAGGCGCGGGTCAAAATCAGAATTCCTAGCATGCAACCCCAGCAAGCACGAAGGGTTCTGTGTAATTTTTACCCGAACGAACTTGTTAGTCGCGCCGTTGCGCTATGCATTTTCATGTTGGCTTTCTTAGGTGAGGTGTTGCTGCGGCAACACATTCTGCACGAGATGTGTGTTGTTGCTCCTTCGCGTGATTAGGACATGACGTAACCCCAAAGTGCATGATGGATGGCGGACCCCTACACCCCAAGCCTTAAACACCTCAGATTTTTTAACAGAGTTCTGCGGTAGCTTCGCAAATATATCCTGAAAGCATAAGCCCTATGAACCAGCACAAACCCTAAACCCTAGATATTTCCCTTAAACCTTATTAACCGTAAACCTTAAGTCCTAAACCATATAATCCTTTTTGATGGGATCCCAAAATAGTACCCTTGATTTTTGGAAACCTTCATATAGTACCCACATAACCCTATAGTATACCCATAATTTTCCCTACAAACCCTAAACCAAAAAGCCTATAATATATTCCCTTATCCCCTACTAATCCTAAACCCTAAACCTCAAGCCCTAAACTCTTTAATATCCCGCCTCACTCTAAACCGCAAAAATTCCCGTATTCCCTACTAAATCTAAACCCTAAACTTTAATCCTTACACCTTAAAATCCTTATCAACCCCCCATATAATGAGTACCTATATAACCCTACGGTATACCCATATAATCTCTCATTCCCGACTAACCTCAGTAAGTCTTCTGGGCCAGGACTGGCTGGATGCATTTGTTCGCCGCAATACTGCGGAGCTGCCGCCGTTTGAGGAGTGGCTTAGGGTTGAGGGCTTAGGGTTTAGGTTTTAAAGAAGTGGGTTCGGGTTTCGGGCTTGGGGGTTGCGGGATTGGGGTTTAGGGGGTTTGAGGCTAAGAGATGAGAAATTTGTGGGTATAGTGTTCAGGTTCCAAGGTTTAGGGGCGAGGCCCGGCTTAATGACAAGGTTTTGGGATGTGGATCAGGGCTTAGGGTCTGGGATTTAGCCCACGTGATATCCCAGCCTGACCTGAAAATGAGAAGCATATGGTTCTCGTTGTGGGAACGGATCAGAGGTTCCTTTTTGAAATTTGCCGATTGCCAATAAAGGTGATCGATGCAAGCTGTTTCGCGATTCCAGGTTTGGGGCAAGAAGGGGTTTCGGGGATGAGGGAGGGATTAAAGTATAGAAGTAATGGGATAGGCTGTAGGGTTTTGCCAAGGATGTAGATATGCGCCCCCAAGAAACCTCAATCCTTCCGTACTTACATTTGATGTGATCCCTGCATCCTTGATAGCGTAGTGCCCTATCCTATTCCCGCTAACCTTAAGCATTGAATCCTGAAGCCAGCAATGGCAGAGGAGGCAAAATGGCCTACAGTGGCACCATCGATATTTGAGAACCATCTCAACAGAAGGGGTTCTTAACCGTGATGATCTCAACAGGAGGAGGAGCGCATCGTCCCAGTGCGACAGACCGTGAAGGAGCGGGCGTTGTATCTGGCCCTCACAGAGCAGCATCTCGGCCATTGGGTTCCGCTTCTATGTGACTCTCATGACCCCATTATGTTCCCTCCAGCCTCTATTGCGCGGCGGGTCACTCCTTGGATTATTTCTAATTACTATTATTACTACTATTATGAATATTATTACTATAACCCTAAGCGTCCCAAGACCTCATATGGGATCCCAAGACCTTACTTTGGGCTGTTGTACCCCCAAGGCCTTAAAAAACAACGTCTTTGTAATTATGGCATATTTCCGTAGCCCCAATTTGGAAAGTACCTGGATTTCTAGGCCTTCCGTAGGGGTCATTGGGTGCGGGTAGGATCAGCATGATTTTAGCCTTGTTCCTTGGGATGATGTGTATATGTCGTATATATGGCATGTAATTATATGTATAAATTGTATATGTATTGCTCAAAAGGCAGCACGTGATGGTGATTTCACAGATATAGCAGACCAAGAGGGGATATTGATATGACATATATATATGTAGCTTGATCATGAATACATGGAAATGCATGTGCAAGCTCAGGTAAGAAAAAAATATATATAGATCTATACATGTACACAGCTGCCGTAATTCGTAGTTTTTTATTGGCCGCTCGGCCCGCTGCTGCTGGGTGGATATCTTGATGAGGCAGGATGCTGGGTGTAGGAATGCCTGCAGTGCAAGGCCATGAGCGGTTGACAGCAGAAATGCACTTGTGCACATGCCTGAAATCATGATCCATGATTGTCGCAGCTTGTTTCGGCATGCCGCCGCTCAAGCTACCGTGGGAGGTGCTACCTCCGGAGGACTGGTCTGGCCAACAGTGGAGCCAGGGGCGGTGGGTCTACTGCTTCGTCCCGGATTTTGACCCTCAGCATGATCAGCATGGGATTTCTAATTAGAACTTAAATCAAATATATATATATATATTTATTTATTTATTTATTGGAAATGTCCGTGATTCTGAGGCGTACCGTGCCGGCGCTGCGGACGAGCTGGGGATTGAGCTCATTGAGCGTGTGACCCCGGAGCTGGAGGCAGCAGAAGGGGCGCTGGCCCAGGAGCAGGCTGAGGGCGAGCCTGACGAAGAGCCCCCTCAGGAAGAACCCCCTGAAGGTGAAGACCTCGAGGAGGAGGAGGAGGTTCAGGTGGAGGAAACTCCCCCTGAAAAGGGGGCCTCTGATCATGATCACGATGGCAAGGACAATGTGGAGGAGATTCATGAGGAGATGGTGGAGGATAGCGAGGGCGAGGTAGAGAAGAAGCTGCCAGACCGCAAGGGAAAAAATTCCAAGGGCGGCAAGGGCAAGAAAGAGAAGGGCAAAGGAAAGAGCAAAGGCCGAAACAAAGGCAAAGGCAAGGCTGGCAAGAAAGATGGCTGGCATCAAGATCGTGGAGACCGCCAGGGTTATCGCGGACATGAAGGCAGAGATCACAATAATAAAAGCCAGGGCCAGCGCAGACGTGAAGGCAGAGAT